TATCATTCTGACTGATTATACCGCTGCTGCTGTTGCATTGGTACACACAGGTTTGTCACCCGAGCGACTTCCTTGAGAGCAGTTCTGGAATCATTGCATTGATGCTGGAACGTGTTCGCAGCAAGACCGTTCACCACAAGCGGCTCTCCGGGTTGTTGACAAAGTCGACGATGGCCGTCAGCGGTATCCACAAGAATTTTGACTTAAAAATAATGACAAACGTGCAAGGTATGTGGGCTCATTCGCCCCAGAATCGACTGTGTGACTAAGAAAAAGATCTGCTGAGCTGTTTTAGGTGCTCAAATATACATGTATGTCCAACTATACATACATGTCCTATTATGACTACACGTCTTATTATGCATATATGCCCAAATATACATAAATGTACAACTATACATATATGTTCTATTGTACATACATATTATTTATACAAATGTCTTCTTTCTTATACATGTCATAGTATACATATATGTACTATCACCCATATATGTCTTGTTTTTCTTATGTCGTTTTATACGTATATGTATAGTAGGACGTACATGTATAACAAGACGTAGTCATTTGCAAATACTGAACTGTATATTATGCGTCACTCTCCCCAGTGCGCACAGTGTGTCTAAGGAGTGTGAAGATGTGCGATCACTAAGTGGTTTGTATTGCATTGTTGTTCAGTTCATTGTAACTTATGTATCTGTTCGACCAGGTGTGAGTGACATTGGCGTTCGCCCATTTTTGCCTACTTTGTATTCTAATAGGCATCGTCTTCGAAATCAAACGTAACAAATCTGGAATGTATAAAGCATACACAACTTGTCGTGATTGACAGATCCATCTGAATGATTTTTAGGGTTTTAAGGTTTTTGAAAATTCAAAACTTGTCGTTATTGAACTATACGCCTGAACTGTTCTGTCCTCCAGAGATTCAGCAGGAGAACGGGTGTGACGAAGAAACCGCCTTGATGTGCTATGGATATAGCACAAAAGCTCTCCAATGTATTTTCCAAAGGGTATGTCAATTGAGCGCCACATGTCGGTTGATCATTTTCTTAAGGAAACACTAAGGCCCAAAGTAAACTAAACATGCGAATGTCTCACCCCATGTGATGGATTGCGAGACGCTTAGCTTTCGCAGGCGATTTTGGCTTAGTGCTTAAGATAAGCCCTAAACCCTTAAAATATTCGCATAGCTTTTCTTATTATCATACCCAATGTCTCTCGCTCTCGACACACCACCTGTCCCGTTTATCTGCCAACGCTGATGGATGTCTTGTGCTTTGGCCATTGAATACTGCGCAGCTGCTGACGTTCATGTCCAAATATAAAATGTGGCCGCAATCACTGGTCATAACGCTTGTTCATACCCGTCAAGAGCTGACGGAAAAGTTCGGCGAGGACACAGAGACGCAAAGTCAAATTCTTAAAATAATTGGGAGAATCCTTATCCACGAGTAAGTCTTTGTAATGTTCCATTTGGTTGGCTGGCAGCGCTCTCTTATCCGCCAGTGGACCGTTGTGGTAAAAGTTTTAGCTATAACCCTAAAAACCTAAAACCTATACCCCTTATGCTGAGTGAGTGTGTACTGAGACTTTTAACGAACATCTTAGTTCTCGTTCATGAACCTATCATAGTGAATTGTTTTCGTCTTTCTGTCGTTTTAACTGGTTGACATGCTGTGGCTTTTGTACCACCCACCGCCTGGTTTTTGTGCAATGTATATATTATGTACTTTAAGAGTTGACGTTGGGGTTTCCATCGGCCATAGGCTTAAAAAGTTTCTAATTGTATCCATGCTAAGGTACATATGCTACTGTTTGTGCACAGCCATAGGCTTTGACTTATTTCTAATTGAATCCATGCTAAAGTACATCTGCTGCTGGTTCTGTACAGGTACGTAAGTCCTATGTTTAAGGATCAGCGAGAGATGGATGAGGAGTACTTGAACCAGTCAGAAGATCCGCTCTCGGCTAATGACAGGGCCAACTTAAGTATGACTTCATTTTGTAGTCGTTGGGTAATTTTGCCCATGTCTGCATCAATATTTCTGGTCTCCTAACCCTAAAACCATAGCCACGTGATTAGTGCCTATGTTCTGCTTCAGTGTGCAACTGATATATGCATTGGCGTGCTGTAGCTATAGTCAATACATTGCGATGCACGATTAGCAATTGGGCAGAAATCGATTTACATTCGTTGCACTCCTCGAGAGTGACATCGTATTCATTCATCGTGAAAATGATAATAAAATTCAGTTCTAGTGTGTCTAAAAAATAGACCTTTGTTTCATGCGGATCAGATTCATATGTTGGGCCCACTTTGCTCATATTCGCATTGCACTGCCCCAACTGCTCTGCAGAGTTGATCTCGAAGTATTTAGAGATGGCCGCGGAAGGCTGTGGTGCCTTTCCAGACAACAACACTACGGAAGAAGTGTTAAAAGAGATCCTGTGGGACACATGGGTGTCCTTACGAGATCTCTTTGATGAGGTATGGGATGATCTGTGGTGTGGTGTGGTGTGTACTGTTGGGTTTGTTATATAAGAAGTGCTAATGGAAGTGCTGTGGTACGTATGGGTGTCCTTAAGAGATCTCTGTGGTGACGCATGGGATGATTGTGGGTTAAAAGAGATCCTGTGGGACACATGGGTGTCCTTACGAGATCTCTTTGATGAGGTATGGGATGATCTGTGGTGTGGTGTGGTGTGTACTGTTGGGTTTGCTATATAAGAAGTCCTAAGCTATATAAGAAGTGATAATGGGAGTGCTGTGGGACGCATGGGTGTCCTTAAGGGAACTATCCGGCCTGTGTTGTGGTGTGGGCTGCTGGGTTTGTTATATAAGGAGTGCTTATGGAAGTGCTGTAGGACGCGTGGGTGTTCTTAAGGGAACCTCTATAATGAGGTATGGTATGGCTTGTGGTGTGGTGTAGTGTGTACTGTTGGTTTTGTTATATAAGAACTGCTAATAAAAGTTCTGGGGGTCACATGGTTTTCCGTAAGAGATCTATTTGATGAGGCATGGCCTGTGATGCAACAAGCGGAACGTGAACGTAAACGTAAAAAATGAAGTAGAGAATTTTTACATAGGGGTCGTAATCAAAGGGACTGTGGCCTTTTTGATGATGTCGATAAGCTTACCTAAATCTTACACTGTCTAAAGTATTTGTTGACGCCGTTGTCTCGTTGGACTGTATGGCCACAAGGCATTCGACATTCCAGTTTATAATTCAGTCGTTGCTCAACTGTGCATGTTTTTCTTCTGTCCTTGTTAGATCTCGAGGCCTAGAGCTGTAGACGAAAGGCATATTACCTTAGACAGTGCCATGATGCCCCAGAAGTTATGGATGACACCCAGCAACTTATGCACGGCACAGGAGCTTCTGCTCAGACATCTGGTCAACATGGGATTAGCGGAAAATGTATGTGGACTATTCATAACGATAGTGGATCACACTGTTACGCAAGAGTCCACTGATAATTTGTTTTAGGGTTTTAGGATTTAGGTAGGGTTTTAAGGTTTCTTAATACAATTTGGGTTGGAGTATGCTCATATTCTGTAGCTTTATGATATTGCACATTTTTGTTTAATAAGATATACACGACCGCCGTCCTTGTTTCTTTCATACTGCGCATAGGATCCGTTGAAGTCGACACTGACAGCTCTCCCAGATATTAATACGATACGATGCGAAGGTAGGTTTCCAAGTATAACAACTCGGGCACACTTTGAAAGGGTAGGCTCGATTCTTCTCACATTATCCTTCTATTTTCTTCTTACATAGTGGCTAGTGAGATATCCACTTAATTAGTCGCTACAGGTTTTAGGTTCAGGGTTTTGACTTTTCCAATTGAATTCCATTGACATTGTTTCTCTCAGAGAACCGAAAGAGCTTGTGGTTTACTACCATATATGAACTTGGTTTGTTGCCTACTCCGAATGCCCAGAGCTCCGGTTGCATGACACCAGCAGCCCAAATGGTATTCAGCCAGGTCAAGGTATGGAATACGTCAATGTGTAGACACTACAGTCGATTGCGCTTCGTCAATAACTCTGCACAGCAATAAGTGCACTGAATGTTTTCTCAAATCCCTTCAGTAGTTATTCTAACGTGGTTAGAGTCAGTGGTCAATGTGCTGTTTATAGATTCTTTAATGTGATTAATTGCACATGGGAAATGAATCCCGACATGTGGATGACGTGGCACGATCGACACGACAACACATGAAATGTCGCATTATATGTACAACGTTTTACGAGTATGTCCATGTGCCTATACTAGACAGAATCGGATTGCTAGTCTGTTCGATTTAGTAAAAGCATCAGCGTGACTATTGCTTAGTTTTGGTCAGCTCCCATAGTTTTTATCTTCCACAATATACTCCTTGACCCTTCAGTCGTGATATAAAATTGCCCCTCGTATTCCTCGCGTATAACTGAAGTCGTATATGTTACACCAGAAGCTGCGCGTGAATCCAAGCAGTCGCAAAAGTAAAGGCCAAGCTCATTGAGAGCAGCAGCTGGGTATCGATTATCAATTCATATCACTTCGATGCTACTTGTTTCCAGGCACAAATGGTGACACTGTTAGCCAACTCGTCCGTGGACACAGTGCGAGATCTAGTGTCGATGCCCATTACACCGCAGATGGAAGAACGGTTTCATCAGGAGTCATTACATGCAAGTGACCCCGTGTTTGTATTTAGCCGCAATAGGTATGTCAACATCCGACCCTAGAGTTTTGGGTTTTAGGGTTTTTGTCTTCTTTAGGCTCTTGCCTGGGTGTATCGTGGTGTTATATAACTCACGCTCGGAAGATCCCTATTGTAGCATAACATGTCTACATGTATCGTATTGTCAGATAGCTTAAGATACGAAGATGTATAACGAATCATGACGTGTGATGCGAGATATTGGTAGCTGCATACGTTTTTAGTTGAAACTTAATTGAGCACGCGTGTTAGACATTTGCTCTCACAATGAAGTGTCTCTGTATGCCAGCCGCACAGTGTTCACGAGACTTGTTTGTGTTCATCTCAATGGTTTGATTGTCTACACAGCTGGCAAACCTTGTCGAACGATAGTGATCCTGACTCTGTGATGTCGTCCACTACTAGTGGAGAGAAATCGAAAGGTTCTACCAGAGGTTCGGTAGAGTCTGCAGTTGAGGAGGATACGACTATTGCAGGGAAGACGCTATTGGAGATTCAGGTAATGTAAAAGCGATACTCGACTAGTCATGTCATCACCAAAACGCACATTATATAACAAGCACCCAAATTACAGATTATTGTCCCATCACAAAATCAACCACATATATATGTGATTCCAGGAAAGCTTAAGCATGGGTATATATGATACCCGCAAAGGGTACATATGTGTATATGTAATGCCCGTAAAGATTGTCAGAAACGGCTAATCGTATACAACGATAAGTTTGCTAATCGTATACAACGATATGAATCTATCTGCAACATATGTGCGTTGCCAGTTCTAGGTTTCCCAGGGTTCCATGGTACTGTTTTCGAGAATCTCGTACAAGTATAAGTACTTTTAATCGCTCTACTAAGGGGAGTATTGTTATCACTGGTTGTGCGTACACATGGTCCAGAAACGGGACATATACCAAATTCACTGGGGGTTGTGAGGGTTCGTTGGGCTATTGCATTGCATTGCAAAAGCCTCCCAAGTATCTTGCTATAATCTTGTGAGTGATATATTATATGATATTTACCTTTGCGTCTACCTGTGCAGGAGAGTTTGCGGAATGGGCTCACTCAGCTGCATAGCGCAGGCTGTTTCGGCACAGGTGAAGAATATCAGATGTTGGTCGACGAGCTTGCAAAGGTATATGGGCCTAAATGTGAATCTTGTTCTTGCTGTTCATCGGTTCAGTAAATTCTCCCAAAGTCAAATAGCTACATCTACGCCACATACAATCACATTTCGAAAACCTAAAACTTACTTTTAATTTGATGGCTATATATGGTAGAACATTTAGTGTCGTTTGTGCGAGAGAGGATGAATGAATGCAATTGTTTTGTTATAAACCATATCTTGAAATTCCGGTACAATTCATTTTTGTGGCTATTGTAGGACATACTTTCGATGCCGTTGAAGCGAGAACGGATCGAAGATATGCAGTTTTCGCTAAGGGAGGTGAAAGCAAAGATGGATGCCCTCCGAATAGAAAAGCGGCAACTTGCAGTGTACAGCACAAATTCGTCGTCGGAACAGTGTGTTGTTCCGAAAAAAAAGAAAAAGTAAGTCTTATCTGTGATCTTTAGGATTTTTAGGATTTTAGCGGAACAGCACACTGTGCCAACGATGAATTTGTATTGTATACTGCGAGTTGGCGCTTTTCTACTCGTAGGGCATCCATTTTTGCTTTCACCTCCCTTAGAGAAAACTGCATTTTTTTGATCCTTTCTCGCGAGTGTTCTGTTTTCCGTACACTTTGATATCATCGCCCACTTATTGCATGGCAGACTAAAAATTGTACCTTTCTTCGCAGGTCATTGATGTCTAAGAGTGCGAAGCACCCGTACGGTTATATAAAAATGTCTGCTAGTAATCTTATCGACATGGGGATCATTACGCACATCAGTGGTTTGGGAAGGTGAGAGTCTGCTGTCATCTTTATGTTATTGCCAGAATGTTAATAATTGTGCTGGTCTGTACCTCACAATAAGGTTGAAATATTCATATTTCCAAGGTTTTTTATAGTCCCCTCCCCCACCCTCCCCTTTCTTTATCCCTAACAGCATGCCCAAGTCCAAACGCCTGAAGTGCAAAATATACTCCGATGAGATGGGAGTATATGTGTTCAAACTCAGCTGGCTTCCCAAGGGGTTCCAGTACAAGAAAACAGGCGTTGAAGTGCGGATGGAGGACTTGCTGCGGAGTTGCATCGACAGCACAAGAATGGAAGCCTCCAGCGGTCCCATTCGATACCGCACCGATCTGATGTTGCAGTTCTTGAAAGCCGAATTTTTAACCCACACAGATCGAGAATCGAACCAATAAAACTCTAAAGTAACAACGCAACAGCCCACCCGCTGAATACATATAATGCCTTGTTGATATCTTGCAAGCTATTAGTACATACCTGCTCGTGTTCAACGACAAATGAACTGGCAAGAAGCAGAGTAAAAGTTGAAATCAAGTAGAAAATCATGACTTTCAATTCGTTCATATATACGAATGTTCCAAACAGCAATCAATAGTATAGAGTAGGCTTGTATCATAGAATTGGGCGATGGAAGGGCAGTAGTCCGCTAGTGCTCACTATTGGAGTCCGTGTTACAAAACACTCAGCACGTGCTCGATATTGGAATTGTCACAACTAACAACTGTATAGATCATTGCGCTTTTATCCTCAGCGACAGCAGGTGAGAAGTATAGGACGGGGGGCTACTAATAGAGAGTACCGTTTAAAGTACAAACTGACTTCAATTTAAGGTGACAATTGCCAAAAAGATCTAATTTTGATGTACATAAACACGATACAACGAACAGCAACAATATCAATATAAATTCGCCAGCAAGTGGATTCAAACTTACAATCTGATCGCTTTCTTATTGATAGATGGCGATAGGAAAATTTGGTTGTATGTTACTCATAAAACCCGTGAGCATATGATGAATGCATGTATTCATGTACATACATAT